TTTTTTTTAGTTGAGTCGGGATTTAGATTTAAAATAAAACTATTGTTAAATACTTTGTCAGTTGTCACAGGGTTAACTCCTGTCTAATATTTTCGCATTGTTAAGCCATATTATTAAGGAGTTATTGAAAATATTAAAATTCTTAAATCCCAATCAAATAACATATTTTTTTTCAAAATTCACCAACTTACCAGAAGCAGCGCAAAAAGACTTAATAGCACAAAACGACTGAATAAACTGGAGCTTCTCTGAATTAGCCTTGTCAACCTTGCACAAAATTGGAGTTATCCGCAAAAGAAAGAGATAGTTAATATGTAACGCCCCACTTTTATTTGTCAGAAATCAAAATAAAATTTTTAAATTTCTTTCAAACACTTGAGGCGCTATTTATTTTCAAAACAAACTTCAATACTTAACGAATTTTTCAATGCTCAATAAATCATCAACTTATTTATCAATATTAAAAATCTCAATAATCAATAATGCAATCCACGCATTGAAATAATCAATATCTTAGGGAATACACTCCCTATCAATAATCCAATATTCAATACTAGAGTTAACAATAATCCAATATATAATAATAATAAAGAAAACAATAATAACAATATTCAGTTTTCAATGACAGAAGCAATAACAATAATAAGACCACCACTCGCATCCCTCCGCCGTACACGCAACACTAACCTGCATCCATGAAGAGCAAGTGGGGGTGAGCACAAGAGGAAACAGTAGTGCTCACTACTATGCAGTAAATGTTATTCTCATTAAGGAAACAGTAATCAATAATCAATAATCAATAATCAGTAAGGTATGGTCGCAGCATGTATACGAATCAATAATCAGTAAGGTATGGTCGCAACATGTATAAGATTTAATAATCGTCCCATCTCCTATCAATAATCAATAATCGGTCTCATGGGCACACCTATAGCAATAGACTACTGTCTAACTATATACCGAACGCCTTCGCTAAGTACTTACAACGAGTGTTCGGCCAGCAGGAGCAATAATCCACCCCAAGGCCAAGACCTACGCCTTGGTCTTACAACGAGGATCATCAGCCAAGGCTCACGCCCTAACTGCCAACAATAATAAAGGAGACTACCCATCGGGTACGATCTATAGCTACGGGGATAACCGTTCGACGTCACACACAGCTCACATCGAAGGTTACATGTTCCACATGCATACTTTGATCATACCACAAACAAAACAATAATAACAATAATAACATTTACAGCATAGCCAAGTTTTCAAATAAAACCCACCTTGTATCCGGAGAAACAAATCACAGAAATTCGGGGAAAAAGGTAAGCCAAAAACACAGCTCGTCAAACACCTACATTATACAAAGTAGTCTTATAAAAGACTATCCAACACATGAACACTTAACAACACTCATGCAATATAACTTAACCACATAGTTCAACAACGACACAAAACATAGTTGCAGTCCAGAAATGAAATGAACAATTCGCATGATCTCAGTATTTCCAAGATAACAAGAGTTATAAGCATGCTATTCAGGTGATTACAAAACCAATGAGCAGCTAACACATATATCCACAACTTTCATGTTGATCACTTAAGCCAAAAATAACTTTAAAACTGAGTTTAAGCATAAAATACTTAGGTCAAGAAATCTGTCAACATAATTATTTACCAAGTTACAGCACTTCACTGAAACGACAATAACTCAAGTTATAAAACTCCAAATCATACAAACTCAAAACCTACAGAAACTACACATGAAATGATACAAGTTTGAAGAAGAGTATTTTTACAGATAATTATGTGAAATGCCTCATTTCAGAGCATACACTCTGAGCATAATCACAATCACTGTTTTAAAAATTCTGGCATAAACCCAACTTGGAAAAATCATATAAAATCAATCAAAACTCCAAATTGCATGATTTCAACTCCTAATGAAAGCTTATAACATGTACTACAAGTTTCTTGATGATCACATTATCACATAGCCATATTAGGGTCATAAAAATTAACCCAATATCATGATCCACAAATCTGCCCGAAATTACCAAAAACTGCATGCATGTTCAACATCAAAAATTAATAACAAGTTCAAATCAACTCCAAATTGCAAAATTCCAAATCTCACTGAATCCTAACTCAAAATAATACAATTTTCATGATGAACACCTATCCAAAAAAATAGCTTATTGGTTACGAAAAATGGAGCACAACCATCACGAAAATAAATGTAAAATACACAACACAAAACATGTTTTCTACCAACTTAGACATGCTCTCTTTCTTCTACCTTCTTTTCTTCATCCTTATTCTTATAACTTAAAACACCAACATATCAGCTATAAGACTTAGTATAAGGTCTGAACACTTATAAATCCATCATATTTTATGAACGCAACATGCTCAAAGCGAGGTAATATTCTTAGGCCAATCATCACCACCTAACATTCATGAATCAATCCTTCCATTTGTCTCATTTTTCTCAAAATTTCAAAGACCAACCAAAGATTAACTACAATTGGAACAAAGCTCCAACATGCATTTAACAAAAGAATTTAGAACACAGAAAACGGATCAGCAACTAAGGCCATCTCCAACCGAAAAAACCCAAACTCAAACCCATTTTGCAGTAACTATCCCATTTTGCAGTAATTCATCTCCAACCGAAAAACTCATTCTCAAACCCAAAAGAATATTCTTAGAATATTCTCTTTTACACCAACTTTTATAACTTTTCAATACTACCCACATATTTTACAACTTTACAAATTAAACTACACTATTATTTTAAATTCAATTTGAAATTTATGTAATTAAAATTAATTATACATATTAAAATCGTAGAAATTAATATTCATAAAAAATTAAAATTTCACCACACAAATAAAATTAAAAATTACAATTCACTAAGATGAAAAATTAAAAATTACAACACACAAAATAAAATAAAAAATTACAACGCACATGATAAAATTAGAAATTACAACGCACAAAATGAAAATTTGAATATTACAACACACAAGATAAAATAGAAAATTACAACAATCATGTAAAAATAGATAGTCTTTCAAGTCAATTTGCATTAGTAATGTTGTTGTTTAATGTTAGTGTTTTTTTTCTTATTAAATAAAAATATTATAAATTATATGTATATTTTCATTATTATTGTGAAATATATAGAATCAAATTATAAACATAATATTTATTATTCTAAAAATTGTACTATTTAATTTTTATGAAATCAAGATTTTTTAGTATTTTATATCATTATTGTGAAAAAATATAAATTAATATGTATATTTACACCACTATTGTGAACAAGTATAAAATAATATGTTATTCATTATTTTAATGAAATTAAAAAAAAAAAGATGTTATTCATTATTTTAATGAAATTAAAAAAAAAAATATGTTATTCATTAATGAAATTAAAAAAAATAGTATGTTTTAAATTATTTATCCATTCATATTATCTTAGCATTCTAAATCAAATTAAAAATAAGTTGAATTTATTAATTTTTAAAATGATAAGATCAATTATAAATAAGAAATAAAAATGAAGGACCAAATTGAAATAAAAAAAATTAGAACGCATCTTATGCGTTTGGACGCAAATTTGCGTCGAACAGAGGAGAGAGAAGAGGGGCAACGCATTTTGCGATCGGATATGCAGTTCGGCTGGAGCGATTTTGCTGCAAAAAATGAGATTTGGCGTTCGGTTGGAGAAAGTCTAAGGCATTTAAACAAAGTACACAAAACCACATAAATAACCTTCTTATTCTTTCTACTATTTCTCAATACCACCTCAGCCTTAGAACTGAAAATCTAGACCTCCAAAATGTACATTTTTAGCATGCCAACAGACACCATAAGCTTCAGCAACAACATCACAAACGACCAAGGAAAACAACCCAAAAAAAGCCTAACTTTCATTTTCTTATCTCATGCCTGTGTTAATCACATTCAAGGGCCAAATAACTGAAACAAAGCTCTAGAAATACTCCATGTAGCATGCTAATCACATCATATTAACTCAGCAAAAACATCTACACATATGGCATAAAATTTACATGAAACTCATATCAATTTCTTCATTTTCACCAAGTCAAACCATGCCATTTCCGAACTTTTAAAAACTGAAACAAGCTCATCTACCCAGCCATAAAATAAGGTGCAAGGTTCAGCCCATTACCGTGAAAACAGAGAAGAAAGGGGCTCGGTTTCAACGGTTCTCGGCTCGAGTTTCTGCTGATCGGCGCTCCACTTACTTAAGGATCTTGCTTACTGCTCTCAACTCATCGCGAAGGGTCAACCCTCAACCCTCGACAGCCACGTTCAGTCTCTTCAAAGAGACCGAACGTGGCTGTCGAGGGTTGACCCTCAGTTGCACGATCTCATATGCCTGGATTGATGCTGCTCTCGTCAAGAACAGAGGATCAAAACGCCTCGAGAACGAGTCGCTGTTACTGCGCTGTTCGGTCGTCAGAAATTGGTGGCTCGCATTTCGAATGTCGGCTCTTGGCTGCTCCTCTGTCCGGTGGTCGCTTGTCCTGCTCGGTGCTTGCCGAAAATCCGACTGTCGGGTCGGGTCTGATCACGAACGCCGGCTCTTGATTGGAGTTCTTCTCGGCTGCGGGGTGGTCTCGTCTTGTCGTTGGAACCTCGTGAGTCGCAGCAAGGCGTGCTCGGTGCGCTTGAAAATCCGCTCCAGTCGTAGGTGGCTTACTCTCGATCGTGAGCCATCCGAAAGATTGGACTTAGCCGCGACCAAAAGGGGTCGCTCGTCAGCTC